ATATATATATATATTATTCTAGGTCTTTCCCCTCCAAATATATACTTTTCTTTTTATTTTAGCAAAAGCCAATATTTAACCTTGTGGCAAATGTTATAAAGCTATTAGTTAATACCCTTTGCTCCTCTTCCTTCCATCCATGACATAGAAGTCTGAATATACTTTCTCAGTAACCACCATCCAGTAACTGATTTACAAAAGCCAAGTCTGGCAAAATGTTAATAAGTCACTCTGAGTTTTTTGTGCTGTCTCTTTTCTTGTGACAAACCAGATGTATTTGAGGATATTCCAGGTATGTGATCACAAGCATTATTTTGATGTTTGTGACGGAAAAAAAAAGTGTGTGTGTGTGTGTGTGTGTGTGTGTGTGTGTGTGTATGGTGGGGGAGAGATGTTTTATAGAAAAAGTAATTTAAGTAACGTTCTATTAGGCAGAGTCCCATTGCTTCCTGCCTAATGTGTATATAATAATCTGGCTGATTATTGGTTGTTATTTGTTCAGAACTTATTGTATCTTGTTGCTATGTATGCAACTGAGTATATGTTAAAGTTTAGACTTCAATATGTTATCTGCACAATTTTGTGTGCTTTAAACCTCTGTAAATATACAGATAAATCATGTATGGTATGTTAAATGTGACCTCCAATATTGAAACAATAATATTTTGTAATATGTACATTTGGAAACTATTTGAACATTTTAAATGGATATTGTTAAAGGCCAGTACCCTCAATCAAAAACAGCACTGATAAAAATGCCTGCCTCTTAAACCTACTGATTTATAAGAAGAGGTCAGGGGTTAACAAAAATTAAGATAATTTTTCTAATGGCAAGTATTTTTGATAATTTCCTACCTGCCTAATTGTATTTCCAGGAAATATTGTCAACAGAAGAAATCTTTGGTAATGGATGGAATGACTGTTTCATAAGCGTTAAAAAAATGCTTTATATCTCACCTGATATCACTGAAATCTAGATTCAGAGTGAAAAAGTAAAAAAAAAAAAAAAAGAAATTTGGTTCTTCATAAGATTTTTGTTGCTATCTAAAGGATAGTTTCCAAGTCCTTTGTCTTCAGTGTGAAGAAATGTCACTTCAATAATAAACTAATAGCCTTCTCAGTGCTTGGCTTACCTAATACTTTTTCCATGTCTCAATGAAGACAAAAAGCTTTCATCTTGAGCTTTTGAAATCTCACTAAAACTTTAGAAGAATTATTATCTGGGGGCATTGTTTTGACTATGATCAGCAAAGTCAGACCAGTTGGTTCTGATTAATCAATAGCATTTGGATTATTACCCTTTCGTATTCATTATTGCTAAGTATTGAAAAATGCAGGAGCCAGTTGCCATGGCAATTACTCTCAGCAAGTTGCACCCAAGAGCTTGGCCATCTTGACCTTACTTCGTCCACCACTGCATGCATGTTTGAATGTCTTTGATGCATTTCTGCATGTACTATTCTATCTCAATTTCTCTATCCCTGCTATTTCCACACCCACAAAGTTCCTCCTACCCCTACTCCCTCTGGCTAGGATTTGAGATTTCTTCTAGAGTTTTTCTGAGGTGTTGAACTTTGCCATTAGCAAAAAGTATTTTTAGAAAAATCCATTGACTGTTTATGAAGCACTGATTTTGCCATATTTTGGCTCTCTGGTTTTTCCACCACATCTGCACACAGTAGTTATGTTTGGTTTTTCAATTATTTCTTCTATTTCCACGAATATTGAATTTGTAAAATGGTTATACAAAAGGACAGTAGTTTTGTTTAACAATCAGGTAATGGGCTATGAAAATATTCTCTTTTTATAAAGGGAATAGGAGGTTTATTGTCATCGTTGTCATTGTTATTTCAAATATTATTCTAGGGAACCAGCAGTTAGCGTAATGGCTATGTCGCTGGACTCCCACGTAGTCGACCACGGTTCTCGTCCCAGACCTGGTGGCTTAAAACTCACGCCGGGCACGTGTGCGTGTGTGCCCAAGATCCCGAGAGGAGAATGGAGGAGAAGGGATTGCGGCGTGACCATCCCCCCTAGGGGGTGATTTCTCGCTTTCTGTCTCTATGTCTCT